TTCTATAAAGTGCCCTGAGACAACTTTGTTGTGACTTGGCGCTATAGAAATAAACTGAATTGATTTTTTCTCCGTTTGGCATTTATAATAATAATAATAATAATAATAATAATAATAATAATAATAATAATATTTAAAAAGCACCTTTCAGGACACCCAAGGACACTTAATTTGGGGGTCGGAGGCGGAGGGTTTGGGGGGGGGTAGGCTGCCTGGTTGGGCTCTGGGGTGTGGGTGGGTGTTGGGCCTTGGGGGGCGATTGGGGATGGGTCCGGTACTCCGGTTCTCCCTGGGTTGTTTGGATCTTTTGATCAGGGTTCCTGGTTGTGATGGCCAGCCTTTTGGCTGTGGTGGCTGCCGGGTTCAGGCGGGGGGTCAGCTGTGGTTGTGTGTGTGTGTGGTCGTTGGTGGTGTATGGCAGTGGTCGGGGACGTGACTTCGCTTTGACGGGGTGCTGGCTGGTCGGCCTGATGTGACATTGTGACATTTGGGGGGTGTTGTGTATGTGTGTGTGGGTGCATAGGTGGCATGCTGGGGCTTCTCCAGGCCTGTGGTGTGGGGCTGTTGGGGTGCCTGATCCTTGGTGCGCTGGGCCCCTGTCTTTGTGTGCCTGTTTATGTCTCGTGTTGGGTTTTATGTACTCCCCTCTCTTGGATCAATTTGGGCCCCCCATTTAATGTGGGGTCTACTTTCCCCTGTCACGCTCCCCTCCGGTGGTGGGTCCCCCTGCCGCCGGTCCATTGGCAGCTCTAAGCATCTGGGACTGGGTGGTGGGGTGTGTGCAGGCCTGCCCTGGTGGCTGCCTCCCTGGGCCTGGGTGCCCTGGCTCTGCCGGGCCTCTGTTGGGGATTGGTATGACCTTAGGACTCGGGGCTTGGTGTCCATGGCTGGATCTACTCTGGAGGGGTGGGTTGCCAGCGGGGCTTGTGGACTCATCGCTGCAAACTCCTGGGGTTTCTGCATTGTGGTTGCTGGGGATCGCCCAGGGCTTCCCTTTGCTTCTCTCTCTGGGGGGTGTGGGTGTCCCTTTTGGGAGACTCCCGGAGCTTCGAGCTTGGGGGCCGCTGTGTGTCTGTGGCTCCGGTATTCCCTGTGTTACCATCGTGTCCTGTGGGGATGAGTCTGTGGGTCCCCACATCCACTATTGAACATTTTTATGGAGAAAACTTATAGTGACATCATGCTCACACAGGTGTTTAGATCCAGGTGTTTATCAGATACACACTCAGTTGGGTTGTGGTGGCCACTAAATATATCTTGTATTACCATGTACTGTATAAAATACTTGCTAATGATGTTATAAGTATCATTATATAAGTTGTTTGTTGTTGTGGTTTCTCAGATTTGTCTTGTTTTTCTCTTTCCGCAGGTCTAGAGTCAGACTTCAATGATGTTGATTTGTGTTCTCTTTATCCCTCTCTCTCTCCTCTATTCCTATCTCCTTCTTTACCTTTTAACCCTTCTCTCACTTTTCTGCTTTGTTTTCTTCTTTGTTTTCATCCCCGTGTCCATTACATCTGAAACAAACCCAAAACAAATCCTAATAAAATTTAATTTATATATCAAGTGGAGCATTAAGGCCAGCTCTAATGCTCTGCTTGTGAAAGTAAATCTGTTGGGCATCACTTTGACACTCAGACAATAATTCTAAGTGTCACAATGCCGGACAGGACAAGAAAAAAAAAAAAAAGATCCGGCCACTGCTTTGAGTTCCGAGTAATTGCAAATGGCAGAGCAGTGTTTTGAAAAGTTTCTGAGATATCCAGTGACTCCTCCCCCTGGCCAAACAGTGACCGACAGTGTTCTGACATCAAATTTTGGTGCTGGCTGGTCCCACCAGAGAAGCAGGGACCAAAAAAGGTGCAGGTTCCGTGAAAAAATGACAGTGGAAAATGGCTCAAAACCGTACCGAACAGAGACGAACCAGGCTGAAGAGTAGCAGTGGAAACGGCCCATTACAATACATGTAAGGCACTCATAGGCAATGCTGTATAAAGTACCTCAAAGTGATACCTCAGTGAAAGTACAAGTATCTTACCATAAAATTACTTTGGTAAAAGTTAGTCTCCTTTAAAATTATTACGAGTAAAAGTTGTAAAGTATCGGACATTTAATGTACTTAAGTATCAAAAGTAAATTTCTCATATAAAATGTACTTTAAGTAAGTGCATTAAGTAAAAATGAATGGTTAGAATTTCCTTGTGCCTGCAGTCAACCTACTTCACATATGGGGAGCAATACTATAGGCAGAAACATGGGTGTGCTATGGGGTCTCCAGTTTCTCCTATTGTGACCAACCTGTACATGGAGGAGGTAGAAAAGAGAGCCTTGACGTCCTTTTCAGGGACACCACCAAGTCATTGGTTCAGGTATGTTGACGACACCTGGGTTAAAAT